CTGAGGTGAGTGAACTGCCTGAGCCCGCGGGTTCGAGACCTGCCTGGGCAACTTGGCGAGTCGTCATCTCCACAATAAATCAAAAATTAGCTGGGCGTGGTAGCACGAGCCTGTAGTTCCAGCTACTTGGAAGGCTGAAGCGGAAGGATTGCCGGAGCCCAACAGGTCAAGACTGCGGTGGCCGGGAGTGTGCCACTGCACCCAGTCTGGGTGACAGAGTGAGACTCCAACTCAAAAAATAAAAAACAACAAGGAGAACAAAGTAGCAACCACTAGGTTGTAGTGGAACTCACACTCCACAACGGTGCCATTCCTTGCTTAGAGCAGGTCTGGACCTCTTGCTGGGAACTATCCTCGTGCCAGCTTAAAAGCCACACCAGAAAAGCATTCACATCCCATTTTTCATTTGTTTAAATTCGTTTGAAGAGACAGTCACTCTGTCGCCCAGGCTGGAGTGCAGTTGTGCAACCAAAGCTTATTTCAGCCTGGAACTCCTGGACTCCTTGTAATCCTCCCACCTCAGCCTCCTGAGTAGCTGGGACTACAGCAGTGGCCATCATGCCTGGCTGATTTTTTATTTTTTGTAGAGACAGAGTCTTGCTATGTTGCTCAGGCTGGCTACTTTTTTAAAATTAGAAATGGTTCCACTTCTACTTGTCCACAGACTTAATTTTGAGAACATTTGCTCATTTCCAAAGTTCTGCTGTGCCCCAGACTTATCACTGCTGTGGAATTCATTCATTCCTAAAATAAGCAGGATCAATTGACAAAGTAAAATGGCTGCTCTCAAGGGCCCGTGGACTACAGGAATCTGTGCAGGGAGCAAATCAACCAAGTGGTATCCTAGGAAAGAGGAAAGGTTGGGACTGCAGTGGGCAAAGCACGGGCAAAGGGTAGCAGCGGGAAGCATGGGAGGCTGCAAGAATATGGAATGCCCAGGGCCTCATGTACCAGATACGTGGTACATGAGCATAGCCTTCTCAAAACAGTAGCTCCCATGGGGCCAGCACTAAGTATGTGTACAGAAGAACCAGTCTGGCAGCCTGAGAGTCACTGGGCACATGCCTGTGTCTCCAATACATAGAGAAGAGGGAAGAACATCCTGCCCCAGGGAAGGGAGGTGTTTTGCCCTGCTGAACCCATGACTGGAATCTCCCCAAAAGCGGCATCAAGGGAGTTCCCACAGGGAATACCCTAAACTGTCCCAAAAAGGGGCCAGTTGGGATTCCAAAGAAAGAAGCACTAATGTTGGCTGGGCACCGTGGCCCAGTCCTGTCATTCCAGCACTTTGGGAGGCTGAGGTGGGAGGATTGTTTGAGACCAGGAGTTTGAGACCAGCTGGAACAACACAGGGAGACCTTCTCTCCATTAAAAAAAAAAAAAATTTTTTTTTTGGATTTAATTAGCCAGGCATTGTAGCATGTGCCTGTAGTCCCAGCTACTCAGGGAGGCTGAAGCAGGAGAATCACTTGAGCCCAGTAATCCAAGGCTGCAGTGAGCTATGATCATGCCACTATACTCCAGCCTGGGGGACAGAGTAAGACTATCTCTTATATATATTTTTTTTAAAGTCATAGCTGGGCGCGGTGGCTTATACCTGTAATCCCAGCACTTTGGGAAGTGAAGGCGAGAGGATTGCCTGAGCCCACAGGTTCAAGACCAGAATGGTCAACACAGCAAGACCTCATCTCTACAATAAACTTTTTAAAAAATTAGCTGGGCATGGTAGCTCATGACTGTCTTTCCAGCTACTTGGAAGGCTGAGACACACGGATTGCCTGAGCCTAGCAAGTCGAGGCTGTGGTGGCAGTAAGTGTGCCACTGTACTCCAGCCTGGGCAACAGAGTGAGATTCTGATGAAAGAAAGAGAGAGAGAAAGAAGGAGAGAAAGAGAGCGAAAGAGAGATAGAGAAGGGAGAGAGAGAGAAGAGAGAGAGAGAAAGAGAGGAGAGAGAGAGAGGGAAAGAGAGAGAGAGGAGATCCATAGATTTTCTGATGCTGGAGCGATCAGTCCATAGATTTCTTTTTTTTTTTTTTTTTTG